TCACGAGTCGTTCAAACTCGCCAGTCGTTCAACAGCTGATCAGTGTCCGATTCACGAGTCGGTGCTCAGTACTGTGTAATTTAAACGGACCAAAGTCATTGAATATTGTGTCTTTCGGGGCGATAAATATGTTTCACACATCCCTGAAATCGCCTTGGAGGCGTGGCTTATGCGTTGAACGACTCGTGAGTTTTATGATCTTGAAAATTTTCGAGAATTGAACGACTCGCGAGAACTCACTGTAAAATGTTTCATTACATAGAAAATATTAAAATTATATACCAATGCTTAAAATCTCTAGTTACGGCACTGATATAGCCCATATATAAAATTCTTCCCAAATGACTTCTGTAAGGTATTTTTCATTTTATTAAATCATCGAAAGATATTATTTTTGTGTCAATGATTAAGCTAACTAGCAAATTAAAAATGGTTAGCCAACTACAGTTGGCTCATCTTTAAAATAATAGTAATACCACAATGAAAAAATAATTTTAAAGTTAAGTTATTTAATCAACTAGCACATTATTCTGACCTAAGCGTGATTACATTTTTGACAAATATTTTACATTTCAAACGAATCCTTTTATACTTGTAAAGCTTGCATATAATTTTTAAACATATTGCAACAAGTTCGTACATAGAAACTAAACATTTTCCCCTTTGGAGCTTTATCTCTATAATTAACTGTTTCTGAGACATTCCATTTGTAACAACTGCACTACTAAAAAATTAATTGTTAACACAAAAGAAATTTTTTTCCAATGCGGGGAAGGAAGTAATTATTTTGAATTTTTTGTTACATTTTTTCCAAAAATCAAAAAAAATTCAACTTAATAATTTCTCGTCTCGAAAGCAAATTTTTTTCTTTTGCTACTGATTGATTTTTAAGTCAGAAGTCATTTTCAAAAATTTAAAGTGGATCCAAGTCGAGGAAAGCAGTGATTTTGATTTTTTAAATAAAATTCCAGGATTTTTGGAAGATCTACGACAGAAAATTTCAAAATCACTGCTTTCCCCGCCTTAAATCCTCTTGGAATCTTTTTCGAACGTCTTCTGATAAGAAAATAAACAATTATAAAAAGAAAAAAATTGTTTCCGATACGAGGAATTATTAATTTAGTTGAAATTTTGAGGTTTTTGGAAAATCCGTGACAAAAAAATCAAAATCACTCCTTTCGTCGACTTGAACCTCTTGGAATTTTTTTAAGGACTTTGCTTAAAATAAATAATTATTCAAAAAAATTGCTTCCAAATCGAGGAATTAACAATTTATTTGAAATTCTGAGTTTTGGGAATATTCGTGACCGAAAATTCAAAATCACTGTTTTTCCCGACTTGGATCCTATTAGAATCTTTTTTAAATAGCTTCTAATATTAACGTAAACAATTATCAAAAGAAAATAATTGCTACCGAGTCAAAGAATCATTAAATTGAAATTTTTGGAAAATTCGGGTTTATTTAAACAAACAAGTTCATGCAATGATAAAAAGAAATATATGAATAAATGATCTGATAAAAATTTTAAAAGTCGGGAAAAAGTCTGCTGACGGTTACAAAACTTGGATGGTTTGCATGTATGGCCCGCAATTAAACATCGGGCAAATCCAGGTTGTTTTCGGCGTTCACCCGGTATTAACACCGAGTTCACGAAAGCCCAATCATTAATAATATTTATTAACATTCTGTTGGAACCATCCAATCAGGATTAACTCGGTGTTAACACTGGGTGATCGCCGAAAACAGCCCCAGAGAACTTTCTACTTAGGAGGAGTTTAAACCTTATTTAATTTATCTATAACACCCATTTTTTTTTAGAGTTAGGAGAATATGTTTTATTTTTTTTAAATTAAAACTTTTCTTCATTTTGTTCAACTGAAGCAACGAATAAAAAAATTGCTTTCTTTCAGGAGCTTGAATTTTATTTTTATTGGTTAATAGAAATCTTTCTTCTTCACGGAGAGAGAATATATGAGGCATTCCATTTCAAAACGACCCCCTTCGTAAACAATTGCCAATGTAAGACTATTTTTAAATGAATATTTCTTCCATTCTGTAGAACCAAATTACTTTTTATATTAGTGATTTCGAAAGTAGAATTTCTGAACTTTCTGATAATAAAAAAATATATTTTTTATATAATTTAATTTAAATAGAAAATTGAGTTTAAAAGTTAAACTTTGAAAAATCTCAAAACACGTTACCTCCGATTTTAATAAAATTCATATCAAACGAAAGCTTGAATATTCTTCTTTTTATTTATCAAACGATAATAATGGACATTTCAGTGGATTTTGAGAAAATAATTAAATTTCACAAACATTTCGAAGGTTATATATGAGAAAACCATTTATTAAGTATAGGGCGGCATTTGTTTTTCCCAATTTATGCATAATAACCTTCGAAATGTTTGTGAAATTTAATTATTTTCTCAAAATCCACTCAAATGTCCATTATTATCGTTTGATAAATAAAAAGAAGAATATTCAAGCTTTCGTTTAATATGAATTTTATTAAAATCGGAGGTAACGTGTTTTGAGATTTTTCAAAGTTTAACTTTCAAACTCAATTTTCTATTTAAATTAAATTATTAAAAAAATATATTTTTTTATTATCAGAAAGTTCAGAAATTCTACTTTCGAAATCACTAATATAAAAAGTAATTTGGTTCTACAGAATGGAAGAAATATTCATTTAAAAATTGTCTTACACATTGGCAATTGTTTACGAAGGGGGTCGTTTTGAAATGGAATGCCTCATATATTAAATTTTGTAAAAATATTTTCAAATTGGGGAAAAAGTGCGACAAAGCGAAATTTTGATATCAAAAAATACTAAACTTTAAAAAAACTTATGTGAAATTTAGTATAATTATATCAAATATCAAGAATATTAATTAAATTCTAATATAACTTTACTAAATTTCATATAAGTTTTTTTAAAGTTTAGTATTTTTTGATATCAAAATTTCGCTTTGTCGCACTTTTTCCCCAATTTGAAAATATTTTTACAAAATTTAATATATATTCTCTCTCCGTGTTGTAGGAGGAGTTTGAATCATAGTTTTGTTGGTCCAAAACATCTATTTTTCTTTAAGGGTTGAAAGAATATTTTTTTTATTTTTTAAAAATTAAATATTTTTACCTCCTGCTATTTACAAAAAAGCAATTTTTTTATTCGTTGTGTCCGTTGAGAAAAATTGTGAGAATATTTAATTTTTAAAACTTATGTTTTATCATAATAACCTCTAAAGAAAAAAGGAGACTTTTAGCAAATAAAAAAATAACGCTTTGTGTCAACCTCTAAAGAGAAACAGAAGACTTCTGTTAAATAAGTGTATGATTTAAACTCCTCCTATTTACAGAATCCAATAAATTTTTTTATTTGTTGTGTACACTAGAAAAAAAGGTGAAAATAATCAATTTTTAAATACGTTAAATTTAGTTTCAATCTTTAAAAAGAAAATAAAGATTTTTGTCCAAATGAAAATAAGACTCCTATTTTCAAATCAAATTTTTTTATACCGTATACGTTCTGTCAATTGAAAAAAATGATGAGAATAAAAACAAAATAAATACTTTTATCGAATAAATGTGTGAATATGTGATTTAAATTTTTATTTATAAAAACATTTATTTTTTAATTCGTTTGCGTATCCAATAAAAGTAAGATTTAATCTCCTATTTTTGTCAATTTTAAAAATACTGAGAATTTTTAATTTTTAAAAAGGATAATATTTAATTTTTAAAAGACATAACATTTTGTCTTAACCTGTAAAGAGAAAAAAGAGACTATTGTCTGATAAAAATAAGATTTACACTCTTCCTTTTTAATAAACGCATTTTTTTTATTTGTTGTGTGCACTGGAAAAAAGGTGAGAATATTTAATTTTTAAAAAAAGGAACTTTAATAGAAAAATTTTATTTCTCTGTTATCCTTGCTGTCATGATTGTAAACAGCAGCAGCACACACTATAGCAAATTGCGTCAAACGTCTTGCAGGGAAATCTGTCGTTAGGGACTTTTGATTTTTTCTAGTTTCTTTCTAATGCTGGCTAATGTTGAAATAGAAAAAGTTGTTGGTAAAGTAGATATTATTTTAATAATTTACTGTTGGGCATTTAACTTAATTAGAATTTTTATTGTTTAATTAGTTTTATTAATAGACATAATAAATATTTTTACATTATTTTCCAAATGTAAATTAATTTTTTCCTTATTTACCACGTTTTCATAAGTATTTATGAAAAATAACCTTGCTTTAAATTTTTAATGAAATCTTTGCACGTTTTGGCGCTGCTATCTATTTCTACGATTTCTACTTTCCCACTGACAGTTCCTTTATGTTTTTGATACATATATTTCCATAATCCTGACCCATTTCACAATTTACATTATTTTTACAAAGAAAATAATATAAATTGTCATTTGGCTTTTCTTGAGCATAAGTATAAAACATTTACTTTTAATCGTAATGTTTTTCAGCGATAAACTTTGTTATTTTGTAATTTTTTTGTAAATCACTGCTCATCACCGTATCATCGCCAGTCTATTATTTTCACTGATATATATATACTACTGGATAGTGTATACCCCTGTCTCGGCCTTTTCAATCTTGTGACGATAGAAGCCCGGAAGTTGACCGCCATTGGCGGTCAGTTTCTCACTTTCTGGCGGATGAATTTAAAAATATCAAAATGTTTAATTATAATTTTAATATATAAAAGACAATAAATCTTTTGTGAAGTCAATAGAAAAAGTTTAAGAAAACTTTTTTTTAAAAGAATTTTTGAAAGTATAAAAATTGTTTATTTTAAAACGTTTTTCTAAAAATAATTTTATTTAAAAAAATGATTAATAAGAAAATTAAAGATTTTATTTAAAATTTTAAGTAATATAGCCCTAAAGAAACTGAATTTTCAATTGTATTTATTTAAAATTCACATTTATTACACATAAATAAATACCTACATCTTGTTATAAAATATAGGTATAGAATTAAGTAATTAAAATAATTTGTAGTATTGTCAATATGTACAATTAAAAAAATTGCTACAAAATTTATGAGGAATTTTTACAATTTAAAGACCATTGATTTCACAGGTTCCTCTATGAATAATTTTTCATGTAGGAAATTTGTAAATTTGTATAATTTAAATTTCAAAATGAGATTTCTTTAAATTTGTAAAAAAATTAAACTAAGGTGAATATTCTACTTTGTATAAATATATATAAAAATTATTACAAATTCATCGAGATAATCATTTTGCATTCGATAAAAATTTCCATAAGTTTTTAAAGGTAGAATTCAGTGACATGATTTTTTCATCCATTATTGCAAGCAACATTTTTTTCCAATAGGTTTCTTTTCTCAATTAGAGTGGCCGTAAATTTCTCCTCTTGTAAATATTGTTGCAACTGTAAAATAAAAACATTATTAACTAACTCCTGAAAAATTACGTAAAAATAAAATTTTTTTGAACATTCTTTTTTATTACAAATTTTTTCTGGTACTTAGAAACTCATTTTCAATGAAAGAGTAAATTTAAATTAATTCCGAAAATAGAAATATTATTTATTGTAATAATCTTACAAAACATTAATCAGTAAAACATAGACCAGAACAAAATAACAAGCCTAAAATAAATTTCACAAGAATAGACAATGGTTTACAATAAAATAAAAATTATTAGCCTTTTTAGCTTTCTTTATTAATCTTTTTAATGGGGCATAAATTATCTCCATTGAAATTAAGAACAATAGATAAAATTGAAACAAGGAAACTATTAACACATGCAATAAAATAAAAAATATGTCAAGCCTCGCTGCTTTTTTAGTCGCGTTTTAGAAACAATACGTATAACATAAAATACAAAAATTCTTACAATAAAATATTTTAAATTATTAATTCAGTACGATTTATCACCTTATTTGCCCACGCTGTAAATAAATTATTTCCAATAAGATTTAAAATCTTAATACCCTACTAAAAATAAAATCAGGAATGGTCAGACAAATGGTCAGGCCGCCTGACCACTTTAATCCAGTTTTCTTACGATTCTGGATGGATCTCGTCAGAAATCTATCACAACTGATCAGGAGGAAGTTTAAAATGGTCACAAGTTTGCTACTATCCCCTCCTCTTTGTTGACCCCGCCCATAATTGGTGACTATTTGAGACCATTTGTATCTCATTTTTGACCATATTTTTAAGCCACTTCTGTTTTATTTATTTAAACAATATGCAAAAAGTTGCAACAAATTAATTTAAAAAAATATATTTTATTAATTAATATCAGTTTGTTTACATACGGAACAACTTGAAACTAATTCCCGGAATTAAATTAAAATTTGGACCCTACGGGGATCGAACCCCGACGCATGACCTAACCTAGTGCCTAAACTAACTGCCCTAACGACTGCGACTACCGAACCGACTTACATATTTCTGGATTCAACTGTCTATATAAAGAGCAACTGTAAAATAGTAAAATTCAATTACCAATATTATCAATAAATCAGAATAAACTGTTAAATAATTTTTATTAATTAATTATATTTTAATTTAGTCATAATAGGTTATGTGAATTAATAAAAATTAACATTATTAATTGAATCAATAATAAATTAAGTCTTAACTTTACAATTTGGAATGTTTCATAAACTATAATACGAATACAGATTAATAATAATTATTATTATATCTGCATTTAAAATGAATTTAGTAGTTAATATTAATTTAATTTAACATTATAATTTATAATAATAATGAATTATTAATGCAATATTGAAATTTTTATAAATTTAAAATTTAAATTATTAATAATCATTATAGTAAGAAATTATTCTATTAATGATTAATAATAATTTAAATATAACTGTATTTCAATTATAATGCAAATACTTCTCATAATAAGTACTGACTGGTATAGTAAATTACTAATATTATGAAACAAAATTTATTATTAATTAACTATATTAAATAATTACAAGTAAATATACATATATTAAATTAATATATTATAAATATACATTAAATAAATATATTAAATAATGTTAAAAGAATGGTCCGAATGTTTTGATTTATTTACCTACTTTTGCTGTATAATTAATTCAATAATTATACCAATTTGAAAAATGAGAACTTTTGTTAAGTTACAAGAACAATTTTTATAATAGAATAATGTATTCTGAAATGTAAAAAATAAATTTGAAAGATTTTATATGTATATATAAATTTTCATGAGACTTTACCAAAATTAGAAAGATGTACCAAAATTTTTATAGGTTATGTGTTCACACATTTCAGAAATAGTCAAGAATTTCAGAAATGGTCAGGAATTTCAGAAATGGTCACAGCTTCGAAAATGGTGGGAGTAAAGTGGGAGGAGCTTGGAAAGTATTTGGTTAGGAATGGTGAGAAACGTTCGAAAATGTCAGAAGTGGTGAGACTGTTCAGGAATGTTCAGAAATTCTGACCATTCATGACGATTCCTGATTTTATTTTTAGTAGGGTAACTAAAATTCAGGCAGAAAGTCTACTCATACACCAACGCTTACAATGAAATGAAACCAATAACCAAGACTTAAATACTAGTTTTTTGGTTGCATGCTATAAATCACCTCTAGTAAAATTTAGAAAAAAAATAAAAATATTAATAAGGTAAACAGAAAGACTATATACAAATGTTTACAATAAAATCAAACCAGTAACCAAGACTTACATACTAGATTTTTAGTTGTGTGCAGTAAATTACCTCTATTAAAATTTAGAATAATAATAAAAATGCAAACAGAAAGTCTATATACAAACGTTTGAAATAAAATTAAATAAGTAACCAAGACTTACATACTAGTTTTTTGGTTGTGTTTTGGTCGCGTTAGTTCTAATTTTCTCTAGTAAAATTAACGACAAGAGATAAAAACAAAAAAATGAAAGTATGCAATAAAATCTCTAGTAAAATTAAAAAGAGATGAAAGCAAAAAAATGAAACTGTGCAAAAAGATTCAGATTGAAAACAATCACAGACTACAATTATACATTTTTCTCTAAAATAAAATTAGTTATTTCAAAGTTAGGAGTTTCATTTTATTGGCGTGCCCAAATGATTTGCCTGGTTAAATGATTTCGTATTTTTGGACCTCGAATTAGTTCTGTGGCATTCATAGTAGCAGCATACATTCGAATTTCAATAAATGTTTTACAAACTGCTTTGATTAAATAATAAATATGATTTGTAGCATCATTGCTTTCCTCACAAATATGACTGTCAAGATCTGGGAATAATAAACAAGGTGGTTGAAGTAAATCTGACAAAACTTTAGAACAAAGAAGTGATGGATAATTTTTCTCTGGGGGAACGAAACCCTCTAATTGAATTAATGTGTTCCTAAATAACTGTTCTGTTTTTAAACAAATCTGAATCACAGATTCACTTGGAAATATTAAACCACCACGTGACTTAATTTTAATGAGAAGATTATCTGCCAATTCATTGATTGCATCAAGTGGTTCTAAAAGTGCAAAACCACATTCTGTGCATAAAATTTTTGGTTTTTTCATGTCAAGTAGATTCTTAACTACCCAACCAGCGATATAAGCAACACAAGATCTCGAGAATTGTGATATATGTTGAACAGAAGTGTAGTTTTGAAATTCTTGAAAAAAGTCAGTTTCCCAATCATCTGTTTCATTGTTTTCAAGTAGTCCATACTTTTTCGCAACTTGAAGATTTACAAAACGGTCATAAACCTCTGAATTATAACTATCCAACATTAATTTTCGAGTAGAAGGAACTGTCAAAATTGTAGTGGCATCCATGCTTTCACAGTTTCCATTTACTGCTTGGACTTCATGCTGTATAAGCAGTCTTTTATAAGCGGAAACAAACTCTCGAGCAGTAGGATTCGGATTCCAACCTCCACAACTTCTAATTGCACAAAAAAAAAAGTTCTAAATGGTCTTGGCTTAATTTGTAAGTTAATAGATATTTCAATGCAGCGTCATCTGGTTTTACATATAGATCGAATATATGTATAACAGATTCAACTGCTGTGATAAGCCCTACGAAAGGAACGTATCTTCGAGTAAAAATCATTGGTTTACCTTCAATATCTGTTATATCTTTCAAATAATCAATGTCTTCTAAAATTTGAGTTCGCCAAAAGTTTTCGTTAATCACTTTCAAAGGAGCTTTATAACCCTTTCCCAAAGGATTTCTGGAGTTTAGGAAATCGAAAACTCTGTCAACGCATCTTAAAAATTGAACTGTAGCTTCAGACCCTTTAAACTGTCTTAAATTCAAAACATTGTCACAAAACTCTATGCAGTCAGCCACACTGCTACTAAGAGTTTGAGCGGCTATAGCTACTTTCATTTTCATCTTCCAATAATTAATATGAATCAGTCTTAGTTTATTGCCACCTCTTAACCCTTCCTTTTCTTGCAAATTTACCAACTTTACAATGAATTTCCACTCTATATAACGTCCATAACTATCTCTGAAAACCTTCTTATCCCCAAAACAATTTCGCATTAATTTACACATGTGACATGTATCAAAAACTACAAATACATTTCGGTTTTCGCATGGATGAGAAAAGTAAGGTTTATGATTAGGCATAGAAAATGTTGCACCTAGAGCTCTCATAGTAGCAAAGTGTTCTTCTGGACCATCTAGTGTTACAGACACAACTTCAACTCCAATGTTATGAAGGCGAATCAAAGCTTCTGTAATTAAAGAACTATTTGTTTCAGAATTAATACCATTAATCAGGAAATAACCGATTGGTATTTTCCAAGAATCATTCAAAGCTACAACCATCATAACATGTGCATCTGTTGCTGCAGGTAAGGTTTCAGAAATTGAAATATTCGATCCAAAATCTACATAACCCCTAATTTTTCCATCACGAGTTCTCTGAAAGCCTTTTTTAATAGATATTCCATCTAACATGAAACTAACTAATACTTTTTTGTTTACATTTTCCGCTTCCTCTACTTTTCGTTTTAAAGCATCAAAGCTTTCGGATGTAAAGCCAGGTTCGCCGTCAATTGAGGAATACCATGATCTTATGGTAGACGGATCTGGCAGAGCTTTAAAAAATTTCTCTCTAACAAAACGATAAGCTTTAGGAGAATAGTAGTGCAAAGTAAGTGCAAAAGTTCTAAGAGCTGGAGGATATTTTTTTCTACTTACACGAGTACTTTTCGAATTTGCAAAAAATCTTTGCAATAACTCACACACATCATTTTCGGCAATTGTTTCCAAACATTGCAGTCCAGATTGTGGAACTAATCTTTCTTTTCGAATTTCACGTACCAAGTGAGTTAAAGATGTAATACGTTTCTCCAAACGTATAATTTTCTGTTTTTGAATACGGGAATCGTTTCTCAGAGTGGAGATAATAGTTTGGTTCTTCTTCAATTTTTTTCGTAATGACCTCGGAGTAGTCTCATAATGGTGATCTTTATATATTCGTCGGCATCGTTCCGCGATAGGAGTTCCTGGTGTTGCCGTTTCTTGTGGTTTCGCTCCAGAAGCCGAACTCGGAAGTAGTGAATTAATGTTACAACCTTTGAAAGAAATGTTTGATTAATATATAGCTTTTTTCAATACTAACAACATCTTAGTAAACACTGATTATGTTAAACTCGTTACCATTATCTTCAATTAAAAAACTGGGTACTGACAGTGCTTCGGAATTTTTTGGCAGTAATGTGCTGTTCGAACCTAAAAAAATTCATAAAACATGTCATTTTTATAATACAATTAAAATTTTTTTTTAAATTAACAATCTTACTTAGCTGTTTTTGAATCTTATTTAGCGTTTCATCTCTTTCAGACACAAGAAATACTGTGTTTACAACATTTTCAGATCTTACTAACTTTGAAATTTGTAAGTTATCCGGCGATGCTTCTCTTTTTTTATGTAAAATATCATTTTCGTTTAAATTTTTAGGAATGTTATGCCTTTCAACATCTGTAAAACATTTTCCATATACTTAAATTCAGAAATCTGAGCTATTTTAAAATGTTTGATGCCCGTGTATGTAACGAAATAAATAAATATTATATACAGTATTATTTATTATAATATAACAACTTAATGAAACTTTACCTTCACTTCTTGCAATTAAACTTGGTACGGCATCAGACTTAAGAGTTAAGACAGATGCATTTTTCCCTGTTTTTCTGAAGCATTTTGCTTCGAAATGGTCACTGCACAAAAGACTCTTTTTTGTTACAACAACATCTTTTACATCCAATGCAGATAACCACTTTTGTAACAATTCTGCATTATCGAAAGGAAATCTGTTAAAATGAAAAGAATATTTACTTTTAATATATTATTTCATTTATACTCGCTGGAGAAAAGGATAGTATTTTTTAAAATATTTAATTTATACCCACAGCTGTCACAGCTTTATTTGCCAGCTGATTTACTTGTTTTCAACTGATTTTAATACTAAAATATATGAAGTATATACATATGAAAACTACGAATACACTTACTTGCGGAAAGATCTACCTTTAGTGGCTCCTTTTATTGCATGACAAAAAATGCAACAGGATTTATAACTTCCAAATTTTGTAGGAACGCTTTTTGGTATTAAACTGCGATTAGTATCTTTAGAGAAACACGTTTCCTCAAAATGATCCGAACATAATCTTGACCACTTGCCAGGTTTGAAATGTGTCCCTAATTTCATATTTTTAATCCATTTTTCCAACAATTCAACATCATTTAATGGAAACCTGGTAAAAATTAAATATATAATTCTTTAAATAATAATTAAATACCTTACATCATATTTCAATAAAATAAAAAATTTTCGTACTTGTCAACATAACCTATGTTTTTAATCTGCTACTTGCGCTTCTCCACAATATACACACTTTATCACCATTATAATATTATAATAATATATAATTATCGTTTAAAGACATTATTTACAAAAACAAACATGGAAAAAGAACATAATCACTAACAAATGACGCACATGTAAACAGAATCAAACAACTGTAAAACGCGCATGTCTGAGAAACTGGCCGCCAGTTCAGAACCTTCAATTTGTTTCAACCGGAAGTCGCTTATTCACTATCCAGTAGTATATATATATCAGTGATTATTTTTCATTTTTTTAGTTTTTTAATATTAATTCACTTAATTTGGTAATTTCTTTTATATACAAACATTAACAATAGTTACTTATACAAATGTCATAAGTTAAACCATCATTTTAAGTTATGTTAATGCGGTTTTTTAACAAAATACAAAAAAAAACAAAAAATTCCAGTGATCGCACAGCGATCCCCGTTTGCTAGGGCGAATTAGGCTGCGGTTACACCTCTGCAGGCTGCCTGCCTGCGCAGGCAGGAGCAACGAGAGTAAGGGAGAAGTTTGAAGTCACTGACTCTCTTACTCTTGTACGTTACCATGACAACCTGCAGGCAGGCTGCCTGCAGAGGTGTAACCGCAGCCTTACTGTTATGAAAAATGCGGCCACGTTTGACGCGGATTCATCACGGGCGTTCGGTCTCCTTATACTACTCCATGGTTTTATGGTAACAGATGAGCGAATTTCTCGAGTTTCCTAAACAAGCAAATAAAACTATAAAAATAGGAATTTCCAATCGTGACAAATAACTGAAACCAGTATATTATTTTAGGCTTATGTACTAAATAAAAATCCCTTAATATTTATTGCTAAGGATTAAGTTTCGTCTTCTCTACTACATACTTATTGTATTCATCTTTACAATTCTTTTTCGCTTAAGATTTTATCATGAGAAATATTTTAGTCGATTTGCAAGTCGATTTTCCAATATCATTGGCAAGCAACATGGGTTGCTTGCCAATGATATTAATTATTTTATTTGTAAATTAATTTCTTTAATTTGTTTGAATTAAACCGCGCATTCAGTACTGTCTCTATCGGGAGAGGAGGGTATTACACACATACGTCACAGAACTTGTGACGAGCGACTATTATCTCGCTCGAACATTTTCGATATATCGAATTGCGATATAAAAGCGCTAAATTTTAATAGTTTATAAATAAATAAATATAAACAATTTGGTAGTTCTAAATAATATTTCCCACGGGTTAAAGCGAAAATCTCTGAGATGAAAACAGGAAATTCTTTGTTAGAAGAATTGTCACACTTAAATAAATTCCAAACTTGTTGTGTTTATATTACGAACGAAAAACATTTCTTAGAAATGTCGTAAATCTAGTAAAGTTAAAATAGAAATTGGATATTGAGTTTCTTAGGTCATAAAACCTAATCCTTCGAAGTAATGTAAAAAATATCTCAAGTGCCGTTTTCTAAAAAAAATTAATTATATTATTAATAATTATTGTTATTAATTATTATTATTTAGAATACAGTATGTTGTATGTTGTGAGATGATACTTCTTAAATGTGTGAGTGTCATTATTATATGACGTACAGTGTATTTTGTGTGTGTGTGTGCGTCTAACTGACGCATGCCCAATTCTATAAATTTGAACTTCAGCGGAGAACGTCTTCGCTAGACTTCACTTCAACTTTAGTTCTAATCTTGACTCTGGCTTGAAAGCTTGATCTTCAGTCAGTTTGTATCTTTTGAGATACAAAATTTTTAGGGTTTTACCTTCGAAAGGAGAACAAATAATTATTCTTCTTTCGAACGGGTTTCCCTTCCGTTGTACCGGAATTCAACGTTTTATTATTTTAAACCTTCCCGCTTCCTTTTTAAAGGATTAAACTAATGAGAATCCGGCCAATCAAATGCCATTGTTAGAGTTGCGTAATAAAAGGTAATGGAGCACTCACAGCTCTGCCTGCCTGCGCAGGCAGTAATTGGAGTAAGAGAGAAAGTCAATTAGAGTGAAAGAGACAGTAAATTCAAATTTGTATTGCTGCCTACTAGCTGTGAGTGCGCCTTAACTCGGCTCGTAACAAACTTGTGTCGTATGTGTATGATACGCTCCTCTCTCGATAGAGGCAGCACTAAAATTCGCGGTTTAATTCAAATTAATATAATAATATAATGAATAGAGATGTCTAATGTGACGTCACCTCTGTCGGTATAGTCGCAGAAAGTAGAGCGATTATCTCCCAGGCCCCAATGTAACATTGGCTTATATGGGAGATTGCAGAAAATAATTTCTTTCTCTAAAATTGAAGTAAAAATCATGATAACCAAATGTGATTTGGATAAAGTAAAAATTTTCACAATACATACGTATTTAAAACTAAGTTATAAATTTCCCAAAGTTTAAAAATTAAAAAAATACCAGTTCTAGCAGAACTAGCAGAAGAGAATTTCGTCTGCTAGAACTGGTATTTTGTAATTTTTAAACTTTGGGAAATTTATAACTTAGTTTTAAATACGTATGTGTTGTGAAAATCATTACTTTATCCAAATCACACTTGGTTATCATGATTTTTATTTCAATTTTAGAGAAAGAAATTATTTTCTGCGATCTCCCATATAAGCCAATGTTAAATTGGGGCCTGGAAGATAATCGCTCTACTTTCTGCGACTATACCGACTGAGGTGACGTCACATTAGACATCTCTATACATTTAATTTATTGCGAATTCTACGTATAATTTAGAATATTGGCAAGCAACATGGGCAAATCGACAAAATACTTTCCCACAGTAAAATCTTAAGTGGAAAAAATCATAAACTCAAATACAATAGAGCACGCAGTGGAGGCGACGAAACTTAATCCTTCCCGTAATAAATATTTTAGGATTATTTGAGTATAACACTAAAAATAAGTACATGTTTTACCTATTTGTCACGTTTTTGAAATTCACATTTATGGTTTTATTGCTTCTTAAAGAAACTCGAGTAAATCGCGCATCTGGTTACCATGAAACCCCAAGACCCTTTTTTTGCCTGAGCAATAAAAAGGGGATGCTTTTGTTTCGTCATCCCTGCTGCATGGACTAGTTAGAAAAAATCTGAAACACCTTCTTTTTCCGCCTTTTTGGGTTTTTCCTCTTTTTAACGAATTAGAGTAAAGGAGGCGTACTTTCGCCTTCCTTCCTGGCACTCGGGGATGGGGGCGGAGGCCCCCAGGATGGGACCGTAGGGTCTCGGAGGAAAACGAGAAGTCAGATACTGTTCGACTTCGGAATTGGAAGAACGTTAACTTTGAGATAATAATAATAAAGATAAATTTATAAGAACTTAGAAGTTTCATTTTAAACAAATCATCCTTAATTTTAACTTGCATTTCCATTTGATAAAACAGTAGATCAAATATTTCACCGCGGGAGTTGAGCTTCCTAGCTCTTTGTTGTGGAAAACGAACATTCATCGTCGAGGATTCCGCTTTGAATTTAATTCTAAAAATTAAACTCTAAAGTATATTAAATTCACAATAGAAATTTGAATTTTGAGAGTTTTACCGCGCGAATCAGACTCGGCGCGTCACAAACTAACTGCGCTAACGTCATCTGACAAAATTTATCTCAACTATTTTAAGCACGTGATGATGGCATTAAGGCCTAAGCACAATAAGTTCGCTAAAGTCGTTCGCGAACGCAAAGCATGAGTTAGAAAAGGACAGAGATATATTTGTGTCCTTGTCTATCTCATGCGTCTCGTTCGCGAACGACTTTCGCGAACCTATTGTGCGTTGGACTTTAGCGATCGCCCAACATCAAACGTCATATGACGTCATCAACGATTCGACGCGAGCAGGTTTGTTTGTCTGCTAAAATTTAACATTTCTATAATTTAAAAGCTTCAAAACAAAACCAAAAAACCGATAAAATGACGGGATTCTAATAATAAATAAAAAGAAAGATAAGTATTTTATGACAAGGAAAAGTCTCAAATTGTAGTTGATAAAAATAAATTTACAAAATGACTGACTACGAGAATGAGAACTTCTGCAAAAAATTGAGAAAAGCTACTAAAGAAATTCACGCTGTCAGTGATGCATTAGTTAACGCTAAATTAGTTTTTGGTATGAATTTTATGATTCTCTTCTTATCTCTTTCAATATTATGTATTAGAAAGTGCAGTAAATTTCTAGAAAAGGGTGTTGTTAACCTATATTTACATTCTTATTTTTTAAAACAAAAATAACGTTATTTCATTGACTGTCTTCCTTAACTAGCAATTGCTTTTTTCTTGTCCTAAATGTTTTTTAGTTGATAGATTTTCTTTTAGTGATATTCTTCTCAAAGTAGATGTAATAATTTAATAATAAATTGACATTTCTTTTGTTATTGGTATATTATTATTAGTTTATCAATTGATCGTCAGATGGCACAATATTAAATGCGCGTAATTTTCGAATTTTCAAAAATGTAAAACTTAATTTTAAATTTAAAAATAATATTAACTTTGTTTTATTTTTGCAGCTTTTCATGATGACACAGTATGGGCCGATGGTCTTTTAGCTTTCTATGAAATTTTTCGATATCTGGAAGGTGCAATGGATAGATTAAAAAATACGAAAGTTGGTCTTTTAAATATTCCAGGTCTCCAAAGAACTGAGGCTTTCGAAAAGGATTTAGATTATTATCTAGGAAAAGGATGGATGAAAAACTACACTCCAAGGTAGAATATTTTCCGTACTACCATAGAATCAATTATTTGCATGTTATTAAAGTTACATGATTTTTCTTCCTTTAGAAACAGTGTAGCGAAGTATTTGCTGCGTTTAAGGGAAGTTGAGGACACTGATCCATCTCTTTTAATGGCTTATATTTATCATTTATACATGGGATTATTGAGTGGTGGAATAATAATTCGTCAGAAGCGGCAACTCGTACAAAAAATTTCACCATTTAAAAATGAAAATCAAGATGGGAACAACATCACCGATTTTGGCGAGTACAATATATTTCAATTGAAAAATGAAATGCGCACGACAATGAATCGAATTTCAGAGACATTAGACGAAGACACGAAAAATAAATTAATCGAAGAGAGTAAAATAGTTTATACACTTAATAACGAATTAATAAGAAGCGTGAGAGGCGCTGGTTCGGTTATTTTAAAGAAATTCTCCTATTTCCTCGGTACTATTATTTTTTCAATTCTAGTCTTCCTCTATTTCTTCAAATAATAATTTTTTTCATAATTGTACATATATTTCTTTAATTGCACAACTTCCTAATTCACCAAAAATAAAATTATTGCTATTTTTCATACGAGACAAACTTTTCAATCAATCGATGTAATTGTAGTTTGTTAAGTATCAATGCCATTCGGTATTTTTAATCAAGGTGTCTAACAAATTAAGAAATATCAAATCCCTGACTTTTCCATGACATGCTTAAAAGGATTCCCTGACTTAATATATAGGTATTAAGTACCTAGTAAATTAAAGAAGAATACCAACATTTATTAATTAGTGTAAGAAAAAGTATAAATTTCCTTACCAATTTATATTGGTTTATATTCAAATTCGATCCTTAGAAGGTATAATAAATAATAACATAAGGAATATTTTTTATATCATTCTTTAAAATTTATTGTCAAAAGTGAAAAGCGACGTTTCGATGACTTGGTTGGTCGTCATCATCATCAGACTCGTTCTGAATAATAAATGTTAACAATACTTTAAAAATCATTGCAACACATAAATTATAAATAAATTAAAATTATTTATGTAAAATCAATTTTAACTTATTTATAATTTGTGTTGCAATGGTTTTTAAAGTGTTGTTAACATTTATTATTCAAAACGAGCCCGATGATGATGACGACGAACCAAGTCATCGAAACGTCGCTTTTCACTTTTGACAATAAATCTTAAAGAATTACATAAAAAATATTTTTTATGTTATTTATTATACCTTCCAAGAATCGAATTTTAATATAAACCAATTTATTAACTATGCAAATACTTTGGGTGATTATTTTGCACTGGCTACTAAGTACTGGCGCGCAGTATCAAATTAAGAAGTAACAAAAAATGTGTGAAAATAAGACAAACTAGTTTTCTATTTTTCAAAAGCTACGAATAAAATCATTTGTTTTAAAATTCCAGAAAATAAAGGAGATTCCATGACATTTCCTTGACTTGTTAGACACCCTACTATGTGTTTCAAGAATGTTTGACCCTGGAGAAAAATTGATATTACTCAGTAGAAAAAAATCTCTATATAAAACAAGACAAAATGCACGAAATAGATTATTTTATTCTTCATATAATTTCCATTCATAACATATGACTAAAAAATTTTTTTTACAAAGATATGAATAAAAAAAGCGTGAAAAACAGGAACTTTTGAGTGATTTTTACTAAAGGACACTTTGACTCTATAAATTTCATAGAAAAAATGGTAGGAGAAATCTGAAAAAATTCATCAACATTCCTTAATATCTACTTTCAACATATTTACAAATTGTTTTTTAAAAAATTTTAAACAATTGTCTACATATTTATTATTAAGAAGAAGTGCAATTTTGGCTTGTAATTGTGCTAGAAACTTCAAACAAAATTAAAAATTTTTTTAATAAATTTTTTATTCTAAATTTAATAAAAGAATTATTGTACAAGTGTAAATTTCTTTTATATTAACAATTCTTTTTTTCAGAATTTTTTTTTCCTTTGCATACAAAGAGGGCAATAAGTTTCAATAACACCCTTGAATTTCTGGAAGGATTGCTATCCAGCGTAGCCTTTTTTTGCATGGCACCTGAAAATAGGAAAAATGACATAGCCATAAACGAGACAGTACTACCTGAGTTTTCGGAGGGTATCAATTACTTTTCCTTATTGAGTAACTTTTAAAAAAAAATTTAAAAAAGAATTGTTAATATAAAAGAAATTTACACTTGTACAATAATTTTTTTATTAAATTTAGAATAAAAAATTTATTAAAAAAATTTTTAATTTTGTTTGACGTTTCTAGCACAATTACAAGCCAAAATTACACTTCTCCTTAATAATAAATATGTAGACAATTGTTTAAAATTTTTTAAAAAACAATTTGTCTATGAAATTTATAGAGTCAAAGTGTCCTTTAGTAAAAATCACTCACAAGTTCCTGTTTTTCACGCTTTTTTTATTCATATCTTTGTAAAAAAAATTTTTAGTCATATGTTATGAATGGAAATTATATGAAGAATAAAATGATCTATTTCGTGCATTTTGTCTTGTTTTATAGAGATTTTTTTCTACTGTGTAATATCAATTTTTCTCCAGGGTCAAACATTTTTGAAACACATAGTAGGTATTTTTAATATTCTTATGATGAATTGATCCACCAAAGAAGAAATGTTTTTTAGACAAAAATTAATTATTTTTAATTTTTACTAATACGTCGATTGGTCTCGATTTTTTTCTCGCCAGCAACAGCAAGAATAATAGCTCAATTTTAAAAATACGACAAATAATTTATTAAATGAATGATGACATTTGTTCCCGAAATGTAATATAAAAGTGTACAAATAATGGATTTAACGTAAATGTTATTATACACACCGTATACACGGAATTAGTAAATATAACATTTTAGCAATTATTTTTCGTCATGAATCACAAGTAAAACTTATAGTTTTACGATAAATAATTAGATTTAACAAAAAGAAAAAAAGTACCGTCGTGACATAAGCGAAGTCTTTTACCTAAAATAAATCTTTCTCAAAATAATTAACGAAGAATAATATAATTTTTCATACACGTTCTCTTCATAACTTGTCAACAAAATGTACTTTACAATCATTTGAAATCGTATTTAAATATTATTAATCTCGACATAAGCGAAGCTTTTAAAAAATAGTAATATTAATAATAATAATTATAATATTAATAATAATATTATCACTACAAATTTGTAGATCACAGGTAACTTCTTTTACAACTCGACGAAAAAAAAACTTTATAGACAATTAAGAATAATCTTCTTATCAAATTTAAAATGAGACCATATTTTAGTTCGAAATTCATCTTTTGAGGACGATTCCTTTATCGCTAAAGAACCTTGTGTACCAGTAGAAAATGGTGATTGATTACGTTTTACATCGGTATTCAATTTTCGATTCGCCTCAGCTCCGCAATTGTGTGCTTTTAAATTTCCCTTGTCGCCTGTAAATAATTTTTTACAATCAAACACGTTTTCTTATTAATCGAAATTTCCTTTTTTACTTCAAGATTGCATTTACACTCGACTCTCGGATCTTTTGCATTCAGATCTTTTACACTCTCGATTCTTTTGCAATTTTTCTCTCGCACCTTTTACCTTTTACATTAAATAAATAAATGACTATCAGAGTGTCAAAACATTTATTTCACGATAACTTAGGTTATCTAAAGTGAATTATAGCAGCGCTCCTCCATTATGTGATTAAAATTACATTAAAATTTTAATTACTATAAATGTAAATATTAAAACTAAAACATAAATACTGTCATTAATTTATATATTTGGTTATACATATTGTTTTGTTTTGCGTTACCATGGCATTTGTTTTGGTAAAAGATATGAGAGGATTTGGACCCATAAGTGCAAAAGATCCGAGAGTCGAGTGTATTTAACAATTTTCTATTTGTATAAATCTAATACGAAAATTGAAAATAATTAACAGTTTTAAACGAAATATTCCTTAAATAGATATGAGATATTTAACTATTAAGTCTTAGTATAATATAAAACTTGTGCCATTCGTCCAAATATGAAAAAAAGAGAAAAAAATGAATAAAACAGGGTCAAAATTTTTAACATATGTTTCTTAAGAATATAAACTAAATTGATTTGACATTTTAATTGAATTATTGAATGAAAAATTACCTTTCGTTTCTTTTCCACCTGGATGTTTCTTGGCAGAAGAATGAATCGACGAGTCATTGAATATTAAGGTTTGATGGCGTAAAGGACTCTCGATCAGTTGTTTAGCAAGCACTGCCGGTGATTGATCACTATTCAAATCGCCGAATAAATTACGTTTAAATGCATTTTTTGTGGTGGAATTTTTATTTTCGTGAGTACTCTTACGACTTCGAACTGGAGAAGTGTTCGGTTGTCGTGTATTTCTTGAATCTGAGACTTCATTCTTTAAATGGAAATTCAAAAGTAAATTAAAAATAAAAATATTGTTCATAAGTCAAGAAAAATAAAGAAACATTACTTGAGAGATCATTTGCTGTTGTCGTTTACTTCTCGCTGAATTTTCAACATCACCAACAGATTTGTGCCGATGCCTACGCCCTGGAACATTTTTTTCCCTTTGCTGCTTCTCCTGAACCCAACGTTTTATTCGCCTAGAAAAAAGAAAATTTATTTAGTAATTGTCAAAGCAGATAAATTTTTTGTATGTCCTTACTTGACGAAAGGAACGACCATGAAAAATGAATTCGGTCCAACTCCCATTTTCACTTTCGGAGTCATGTCCTTTTTATTGTTTGGCAAATCAGCCAGTGAGAACCACTCGACATTTTTAATTTCTTTACGTGTCAATGGCTGAAATTTGGTATCCTTTTGAACGCCACTTATAATGTAAAGTCTCACCAGTTGATCGTTGATAACAGATTCGATGTATTCATTTTTATCGATTAAATTAGAAATATCAAAGCCTGTTTCTTCCAATACTTCACGAACAGCACAGTGTGACGGATCTTCGTCCTCGTTGACTTTGCCTTTAGGAAAACCCCAGCTACTTTTCGCCCAATAACTTTGAACAAGAAGAACTTTTGTCATGTCTTCATTTAAAACGATTGCACCAAATGTTGGTACATTTTGCTTATATTCCCTCCATTGATCAATTATTGAGTCAATATTAGTTAAATGAGGTTTTAAAAATGGAATATGTTGAAAGATATGAGTTACAAATTCCTTCATGCCACACGATTTGAGTTTTGAATTTTCTTCCACACAATAGAAATCCAAGTAAAACCAATGCGCCAATTCAATTTGAAAACAAATACGGACTAGGTCCTTTCTTTCTTCTTCGGGTACGTTTATTATAAAACGACTAAAAAAATAAAAAATTGTAAACAGAAGCGAAAGCAATATTGCTAACCTCAAAATAGAAGAGCGAAATTCATTTTTATTATCGCTAATTATTGATATTATTTCCACTTTTATTTAAACAATAAGTAAAAAAAGTCTTTTCATTTATTTTTTTAAAGTTGTTTTTTATGATAAATAATAAAAACGATAAAAACTAACCTGCTCAAGTCGTCGAGAATGTACAAAGGTATAGAATGTTCAGACATAATTTTCTTCCTATTAAACAATGAGATAGCGAAATACCTCAAGAAATATGAATAAAATGTTTTCAAAATTATGAACAATTCTTTTTACTTAATACATATTTGTTATATACCTTATTTTGCTTATTTTCTGTCTGATACCATGTCTGTTTGCTTCGTTTGCTTTGATGATTTTTGCACATGCGCAACTTGTCGCGCAACCATCTTTCATTTTATTGGCGCTTAAATTTAACATTTTTTAATAAATAATAAATTTAAAAATTAAAATTATAATTATAAACAATTTTTAATCGTGAGTTTCTTTTTGTTTGAGAAAAATTAATAATCTAATAAGGCAAATAAAACGAAAACATTCGAACAATGAGCAAACGCTAAGTGATCATAAGAATATATATTTATATTTATATATATTAAAATATATATTTTATAAAAGATCTCGGACGTTAAAGATTATTTAACTAGCATAATCAAATAATTTAGAAAAATTTTTATTTATGATTTATTAGCTTTTTTAAACTCATGATTTATACATTAAAATTATCAAAGTTCCATTTTTTCCTACCAAAAAAAGAGACGCCTGTTTATCCCCGTTTATGCAAATGCTCTAATAGTCATTTGATCTAATTTAAAGGTTATAAATATTCAAATGATCTAAAGAACATTGAATATAATGTGATTTTATATAAAAGTCTAATTAATAAAATGAGTTTATTCTATAATTTATTTTTAAGCCAATAATCAAAATATCCAATTCGCATTTTCTATAATCATAAGCAATTATAAAATTTTTTCACGCAAACTTTCAACTCATAAAATAGTTGTATAAGCCAAAGTTTATTTTTTATAATTTTATAATAACCTAATTTTAAAGTGTTATAATTTTTAATTTGTATAAATTGTAATTTAACAAATGTCTGTCAAATCTAAATGTAGTAAAATACAATTTATTTAAATAAAATATCTTTTTTAAAAAATGCTAACAACCTCGAATCGTCAATTGATCAAATATTCAAAACATCTAATCGTCATTTCGTCCAATGCTAAAAACATCGAATCGTCAAATGGTCGAATGCTTAAAACATCGAATCGTCAATTGATCAAATATTCAAAACATCTAATCGTCATTTCGTCCAATGCTCGAAACGTCGAATCGAGAAAAAGTTGAAAAATTTGCTTGATGTAAGTTAACATTTATTTAAACCAAGCAAATTTTTCCAATTTTTGTCGATTCGACGTTTCGAGCATTGGACGAAATGACGATTAGACACTGTAAAAAATTCTCATGTAAATTTACTACGTCCGACGTAGGAAAAGAAAATCACTACGTCAAGCGTGTAATTTTACAAATGGCTGATCATTTGACATAACCTGCATGTTATTTTACATGCTCAATGTTAAAATGGGTTGCTTCAAATAGCGTTCTGTTCAAAAACATGCCGCATGTAATTTAACTAATGCGTAATCTGTTAAATAATACTAATTGAAAACACTAAAATATATATACTAATAATAAAAACACAAAAAAGGCAAAATGTCGGTGTTGGCAGTTCACTTTATTTTGAGCATGTGCAAGCATCCATATAATATATTTAACTCCGCGCTAAAGGAAAAATACACGCGGCATGTAATCTTACATGCAATACAACGTAAATTTACGTATCCGTGGTAACTTTACATGACCATTGTAAATTCACAGAATAAAGTAAAAAAACAGACGAGTGTAATACAACATGCTGGACATAGTGATCAAATTTTCCTACGTCGGACGTAGTAAATTTACACAAAACTATTAAATTACATAGTCATATAAAGTAAAATTATTAAAAATAGTAAAACTACTTTGAAACTTAGTAAATTTACTACGTCCAGCCTATAATATTGCTGTGTAAAATTACATTCAGTATGTTTTAATACACCAGAATTTTTTACAGTGCGATGTTTTGAATATTTGATCAATTGACGATTCGATGTTTTAAGCATTCGACCATTTGACGATTCGATGTTTTTAGCATTGGACGAAATGACGATTAGATGTTTTGAATATTTGATCAATTGACGATTCGAGGTTGTTAGCATTTTTTAAAAAAGATATTTTATTTAAATATATTATATTTTACTACATTTAGATTTGACAGACATTTGTTAAATTACAATTTATACAAATTAAAAATTATAACACTTTAAAATTAGGTTATTATAAAATTATAAAAAATAAACTTTGGCTTATACAACTATTTTATCAGTTGAAAGTTTGCGTAAAAAAATTTTATAATTGCTTATGATTATAGAAAATGCGAATTGGATATTTTGATTATTGGCTTAAAAATAAATTATAGAATAAACTCATTTTATTAATTAGACTTTTATATAAAATCACATTATATTCAATGTTCTTTAGATCATTTGAATATTTATAACCTTTAAATTAGATCAAATGACTATTAGAGCATTTGCATAAACGGGGATAAACAGGCGTCTCCAAAAAAAAGCATGAAGGCATGGGCAAGATCGAATATCGAAAATATCGAAGAGAACTCGCAGCGCGATTAGGAAAAAAGCATTGGTACGGAAGCTTCTACGCGCCACCCTGCGGCACTCACTCGCTTTACGAGGCACAAGGCAAATGTCGTTTGAAGCACCCTGCTAGTGAATGCCTTGTACGATGCCTCGGTGTGTGCCTCGTAGGGTGCCTCGATGCGTGCTTTGTGCGACCAGTAGTAGACCAGTGTTTTGAAATTTTAAACGGCTTTAAATGTAAATCAGAATTCTCAAAAAAAAAATTTGACTAGTTCAGGTTAAATTAATAGCTAATTGCTGTTAATATTTTTAAATTAAAAAGTGTAAATTTTAGAATAATTGAAGGGTGGCATGACAAAAGGGAGTCAGCAACAATTTTTCGAAATTGAGATATTTTTAGAAAAAAATCAGGTAAATTCTTTTACACAGTTCTGTAAAAGGATTTTCTTGTAAATTGTTTTTTAAACTCGTTTTTAATAAAAATAAGAATAAGACAATAGCCTACATATTTTTACTTACAATGCAATTCAGTTAAAAAACAAAAGAAATGAATATTATTATGAATAGATTAATATCGTTAAAAATATTTATTTCTTTTTTATATCATTAAATATATATTAAATTTCTCTGAAAAACTGTATGTCTATTTAGAAATAATTTTTATTCTTTATCTAATTTTCAATAATTTAAATATTATTCTTCTGTTAATTTTTAAATATTCCTGTTTGTAGTTTACATTTGATAATTTCTATACTTTTTACTTTCAAAAGTTAACATTAAATTAACAATTTTCTTGAAAACAAACAACTTTTTCAAAGCAAACTTTTTTGCATTCAATTCGTCATTTCAATATTAAAAAACTAATTTTTCAGTTTTTCTTTAAACTGTATATTTTTTAACAATTATAATTTTATAACAAAATATGCGCATTTGACGTAACCACAAAATAGTACACTTTTACTTATTTTTCTCACTAATATGTAGGTTGTAGGTTTATCTTCATAAATTTTATTTCTACTGATTGAGCGAAATAGTATTTCCAAACGGTTTTTTTTAGATTTTTCTTTAATGATCAGAAAAAATTTTTAATGTGTTATTTTCGTTTCCTGTAAAATCGTTAAATTGTTGCTTGACCATTTTTGTCATGCCACCCTTCAATTACAAATTTTGTTGAATCTTGTTTTAGATTGTAGTGAGGGTGTTGAAATGTTTCTTTTACTTGAGTATAAAATGTCAAGGTTATGTTTTCACCATTTTCACCTACCAAAAAAGTTATTTATGACAAGCTGCAAGTACGATTCAATATATTTTTATATATGAGGATTGAATTCAATAATTATTCAAGATGTACATATTTGCTTAAAATTTTTAAGACAACTAGAGGTTATATAACCTATCTCTCAAGTAAAAATACATTTCAACACCCTCACTACAATCCAAAAAAAGATTCAACAAAATTTGTAATTATTCTAAAATTTACACTTTTTAATTTAAAAATATTAACAGCAATTAGTTATTAATTTAACCTGAACTAGTCAAATTTTTTTTTTGAGAATTCTGATTTACATTTAAAGCCGTTTAAAATTTCAAAACACTGGTCTACTACTGGTCGCACAAAGCACGCATCGAGGCACCCTACGAGGCACACACCGAGGCATCGTACAAGGCATTCACTAGCAGGGTGCTTCAAACGACATTTGCCTTGTGCCTCGTAAAGCGAGTGAGTGCCGCAGGGTGGCGCGTAGAAGCTTCCGTACTTCCGTAATTGGAGAAAGGCATACTCATAAGTGTTAGGGTACAGTCACACGATCAATGCATCTGCATGATGCATGCATGCACAAACATTTGACTGTTCACACCTCAATTTTTCGCTCTCGAAAATCATTTTTCTGGCGGGATATTTAAAATTGATTAAAATTTAAAAATAACGTATTACTAATTATTACAATAAAAAATAAAAAAAATTGAACGTTTATTATAAGGAATTAATTGTAAATAAATTTCTCTTAATTTGTGGCATATTTTAATATTGTGAATTTTTATAATTTAAAATATGCCACTAATTAAGAGAAATTTATTTACAATTAATTCCTTATAATAAACGTTCAATTTTTTTTATTTTTTATTGTAATAATTAGTAATACGTTATTTTTAAATTTTAATCAATTTTAAATATCCCGCCAGAAAAATGATTTTTCGAGAGCGAAAAATTGAGGTGTGAACAGTCAAATGTTTGTGCATGCATGCATCATGCAGATGCATTGATCGTATGACTGTACCCTACGAGCGGTACTATGGGTACTGTCACGTCCCAAGTACAAAAATAGGGATTTTTGAATATTAAAATGTTGGGGAATTCAACTGCTAAAACACTAAAGTGTACCCTGTAAATAGGTGGGAGATTCAAATTCTACTTTATAATGATTACAACAAGAAATACTTTAAATTGGTTACTTTAATCAACAGTAATAAGTAAAAGTTACAAGTTCGAGCCGAGAAATTACAAGTAATCGGTAAGAGTGCTCGGAGATATCTGACGAGATGAGATCCTGTGGTCCATGGGTCCCCATAGGACCCTGCGCGCGTTGAGTAGAGGGGATGACTACCCCTTCCTTTGAACTTCCCTGTGACCAATACAACCCTGACGGAGTGTTATTTTTACAAGTTATTTACACATTCATACTATTTTTCATTATTTAAATTTAACATTAACAATATATAAAGTTAATTAATATTTGTTTCGTCAATTACCAAATATATAATAATCGGTTTCGCAGTTAAATTCATTCGGAGTATGATAATTACATTTTGCATCTGTATATTTAATTACCATAGAATCATGGTAACTTTGAATTACTAATAAGATATTACAATAACGTAGATAATTTGTATTATAATACAACTTATTATTATTTATTTATTATTATTATGATTATTATTATTATTATTATTATTATTATTATTATTATTATTATTATTATTATTATTATTATTATTATTATTTAATTAATCAATAAATTAATTAACAAATTCTATACATGTGATTAAAACTTTTATCATTAATTAAGAGTATCAAATTATTTAACTAGTAATGAAATGGTAAACAGTAATCAATTTATAATCGTTGTTTTATAAAATTATTAGTGGCATACATAGAATTAAGAATGTGAAATTCATATCAAATTTGAATATTGTAATTAAATAGAAAGCTCATTTCTTTTTCTTATAAACGAAGGATGAGTCATAGGTTTTTCCTGACGATACAATACCCTTTTTTTTGTATACCGGGGACTCGAGTAAGGCCCGAGTCCCACGGTCCCTTTTTTATTGCTACCACATGTTTGGGTTTTCCCAACTGTTTCGAAGTTCGGAAATATGTATTTCTCAAAAGGCTATTTTTTATAGAAATAAACTCTGTTTCTTTTCAATTCTAATTTTTTGTGTCCTACGTGACATTTGCCTCATTTTCGCAGACTATTTCAACATCTGTAATTTTAACAATTATTCCTTTTCAAAAAGCAGCACATGTTTGGTTGCCATTCTATTTCGTTCTTTAGATTTTTTGCATGTGATAAAATTCTTTACGGAAATAAGCAAATAAATGCATGCGTTTTTATTTTACATTAAAATTCAATTATTATATTGATATTAATTTTGAATCCTAGCGCTATTACCTAGTTACTTCCGTACGAAGAGTTACGTAGTGTTTTTCCCTAGCGGAGAATTACGTGAATTTAGGCCTGCCGTCACACCTCCCGCCTTACTAAAAAAAAATTGTTTACGTAGTAACAATTTTTTCGTTTGTTTTCAGTTTTTAGAATTTAAACAAGTTAAATAAATCTATCTCAAGTTGAAATTGGATTGCTTAAAAGTTGACACAATTAAGTGTTAAATCATGGTATTATATGTTACTGATTTTAAAATGCATTTCTTTTTCAAAATAATGCTGTGACAGTGTATGTTCTATACATAGGTTCTACAAGTCAGCGTCCTATATAATGGGCAGTGTAATTTTAAAAGAAAATACTACTAGTTAAGACCAATATCGAAATTTATTAGTGTAACGAAACTTGTCAGATAAGTATATTAATTTTAATAATTTGTGAAAAATTTGTAGGTTTTCTTAGATAAGATTTTTCTTTGTTAAAATATTTATGTTTCAGGTGCTGAATTATAATGTTAACTTGAATGATTTTACATGTTGTCTGAAATTGCGATAAGAAGATTAAAATTGTGTATGCCCTGCTATGGTTATTTGTTTAATTACAAAGGTAAAGTAATTTATCATACGTATATTATTTAATGGCTATGTTGTATTGAACTTTATCTATTTTTATTCGCAGTGTTTGCTAATTTTTTGTTATAATACATGTAATGTTATTTAAACATATTAATGTTTAAATGACTTTTTTTTTTTTTTTTTTTTTTATTGCTGAAAGCGATTCATTTAATAATTTCAATGCGCTAATTCATAATTTCTTTATTTTGTCCCAGACAAGCGACAAGAACGATAATTAAAATACAATATTCAGCAAAAATTCAAGATATACATTATATGCATAAAAGAAAAACATACATAAAATAATATTCCTAAGATATTTTCAACAATGATAAATAATCCTCAATATTACATTCATAAAAAATTTATCAATATCAATAGTCATAATAACGAGATTCTTCTCATCCAATAAAATAAATATTTATATAATCTAAGCTTAAAAATTTTCGCACTTTCAATAGTACTGATAGAGCCAGGAAGAGAATGCCACAAATTTATACAATGAACAAATTTACAAATAAACAATCTTAATTTTACCCGTTTTTTCGTTAATAATTTTTGCGTTATGTGAACCTAAAATTTTCCGACTTTGTATGGTCCCTCAAAAAGCGAATCGAACTTTTTGTCATTTCTGACATTGATTTTTAGATTAACAATATTCCCTTTTTGAAAATCTATACACTCGATTCTCGTTATAACGACGATCTCGGGACTTCAAAATCTCGATATAACGACAGAAGGAGAAGATCCTACTTCACGTTCTATTCAAACGTCAAATACGTGCAAAATTTTTCGTAATGTATGTTTATTTATATTAAAAGTTTTTAAATTATAGAATCAGTTTAAAGAAAAAGTAAGTATTTTTAATAATAATCGGATCACTAGATTCTTTAGGTTAAATAAAGTTAAGAGTCGATTAAATTTGTCGTTTTTTTTGAGTTAACCAAAATTTTGGTTAAATTGAATTCTTAAATTCGTTCGTGTTTTTTTTGTCGTTGTATCGAGAGTTTTAATGTTCGTTATAACGAGAGAACGTTGTAACGAGATTCGTTATAACAAGAATCGAGTGTATTACTTTTTCTTCGTTTTGAAAAATTATATTGGATAGTGATAGTTGTTTGTCAATTCTTACATTTTCTTATAAACGCTTGTATTTTGATTTTTATTTCCGGTCAGTAATAAATTAATCTAATTCGCCAATATGTTTTAGAAACATCTTTATCCTCGCCAGTGGTGGATTCATGGAATTCTTTAATTATTTTTTTCTTTCTGTCACTAATCTATGGGGTAATTATCTCCCCAAAGCAGATAATTAATTTCAATTTTATACCAGAAAAATGTTCGAGAAATAGTTTCTCTACTTATGTCGAAGATACGTCACCTAAATTATTTTCTTTACTAGAAACTCTAAACGACTTCAACAGTTAGAATTAAATTTAGAATTAGAATTCCTTTATTTTGTTCCACGATAACCATGAGGACAACAATTGATTTACGACAAATACAATATATATGTATATAATATAAACGATTGGAAATTATTTAGATTACGAAAAGAATCTTAGACTTAAAAGAATCACAGTAACATGGATCACATTTAGTGAAATCATGGCATTTTTCAAGTGCCAAAATTGATTTTGAAAGCACATCAAGCACTTTTTTTTTTTTTGTTGAACTATTTTTCGCTATAACATGAAAAATATATCGATTATTTTGGGCGAATACGATTACTTTACCAAGATTTAAAACTTCAGTTGCCCACAGGCTGCAAAATTTTACTTTCGATTAACTTACGCCTTATTTGCTAATCTAAATTATCATCACATGCCCAAAAAAAAAAATGGATCACGTGGCTTTTAACATTAACACAAAGTCCTTGCTGTATGAAATACTATCATTCGTAATTACCATTACTGGTTTAGATTTTTGCAAAAGGTCTTTAATTTCTTTTCTTTGACTTTCCCATGATTTTACACTGGTTCCACTACCTTGATCAGGGGTAGCTTCCCCATTTACTGTACAAATACTCAATACTTGAGCCTTATCTTTCTCCCACGTACGGTTAACTTCTCCATTAGCTCGGCACTGTGAGCATAATTGAGCTTAATCTCGACGAAATCGCCAGATTGTAAAAGAACTCGGACAAGATGATTTTCACACCGGGGTGTGGAAACATCACGTCTCCAAGAACAAGTCTGTTCCCATAATTAATACCACAAATTTTCATTTAAGGTGTCAATATGTTCCTGAACATCCTTGTATACGGCAACTCCTACAGGTTTTACAATACGCCCAAATACCTCATGAAGGTTTACGCCAGTCGTGTTCGCCACAGTGCTTTGGGTACCACGTCTATAACAAGAACATGATTTAAGACGACTTCCGGAAGGTTTGTGTCACTCAATGGAATGCTACCGTAGTGTAGAAAACAAGTTTCATGAGAAAGCAAATTTCAACAACTTTTTCAGCCAAAAAAAAAAAATGAAAATTCATCAGAGAAAGAATCTTTCAAAACATTAAAATTGTGCACATTTTTACAACATCGTACGGATTTCTAGGAGAGTTATCCGCGTTTGTATTAATGACACCTGATTTATATTTAATATCGTAATCGTACTCGCTCAATTTTTTAATTTCCATCGTGCTAAACGGGAAACAGGATCTTTAAAGTTATGAAACCATACGAAAGGTATATAAATATATAATATAACTACATTAAAGTAAATAAATGTTCTGTAAGAAGAGTGAGCTTTCTACCGTACAGGTAGGGTTGAAAAGTTTTTACACAGAAAACACTTGCTAATAGTTCTTTCTCTGTTGTAGAGAAGAAATTGTGTCACGAAGCTGTTCGAAATCAGATTATTGTAAATCGTTCCATTAAAAGAGATAACCTTTTTCAAGAGGTAAGAAAGAAACGTAGCAATTAGAGCAAATTATGGGATAAATCTGCGATAAAATTCGCCAAAACCTAGAAATTGTTTAATTTTTTTTTTTGTTTTTAGAAATTCCCTTATGGCAATGACTTTATTTGGATCAGATTTTACGCCGTCTTCAGAAACAACATGACTGATATAAGAAATTTTGTCGTGAAAGAAATTTGTCGACCACAGAGATAGCATTTATAATGCCAGGCCAGCAGTTTTTAAATCTATCATGCAACGATTTAGATGGAACCCTTTGGCGAGATCGAAAGTGGAAGAAACTTAGCATCGCCAAGTTGTTCGAAAATGTCAGTTATTTTTACTACTGAGTAAACAGAATAAATACTATAGAGAGAGTAAATTTTGAATCAAAAGGTAAATAGTTTATATAAATTTATATTATGTTAAATTTTAATAAATACTACTATATTTACTAATATGTATAATTACTACATTATAGCTATCGCTAACAGTTTTTTTTTTCTTCGTTTAATTTCCCGTAACAAATTATCATACGCAAATTTTTTTTTGTGTTATTGCCCTTAGAATACGCTTATTATTCGGAACCAGGACTTGCATCGATTCTATCAATGTAACCTTTTCATAAATTTGATTTATTAATGGAAATTTTAACAGGTGTTTTGGATCGAAATTTTAAATTTATTATAGAATTCGATATTAATGGGATGTATTCTTCTCCTAAATGAAAACATTCGTTAATAAAATTTTAAACTTCACTCTATTTTCACAAAAAAGATGTAGCTATAAAATGCTCTCATATTGAATGAGAAAATTTTTTATCGATAATTTGTAAAGATGTTTCTTTGTCCTCGCTTGACAACCATGTTCTGATCGCGGCATTTTTTGAATAAAATAAAAATTTAATATAATATTACAAAGAAAATACGGTTTGCATATTTTAATAGCTGAAGTTAATTTTTAATTCGATTACAAAGTTTTTATTTTAAAAAAAAATTAGAATTTATCGTAGGAGTAGTCTAATTTACCAATATTTTTTTTTTTGTAAGAATTGTACGTTTAACAAAATTCATAATTTGAAAATGAACCAAAAAAAAAATTTTTTTTTTTTATAGATATGTTTTTGACTTACAGTTTTGATGTATCAACCTTAAATTTGCGGTCAGTTAAAATCTAATAATATCCTTACACACACATTCGAATTCACACAGGGTTTACCAGTCACAGGAAGTTGTCTGTAGTTCCAATTAATTCTCGTAGTTGCTGCCAGTTTCCTCAGGTAAGTTCCATGTAGATACGTTGATGAGTCGACATCGTTCACTGTTTATTTCTAAACCGTGTTTATTTTTTATAAAAATTTAGTAGCCTACGGTTATGAGGGAATATCACGTGGTCCTGCTACAACCGTGTTCGATCTTTGGTACTCAAACAAATACCACTAGCTTCCAGAGTAAAAAACCACGTCAAAAACTCTTGGAAGAAAATCGAGGCTTATAAAAGATTTCACTAAGTTCATAATATTGTTCAAGTGCTAATAAAATAAATTTCACAACTTCTAATAAATTTGTACAATCACTATAATGTTTTCGTTTTTACTATGTTATCAATTTAATGTCACTTTAAATTTCATTGTCAAGTCTTTTATTTATATTATTTTCACTAAAAGTTTAAAATGTCACTGTTTGAATTTTCGGCACCACACTAATCAAATTGTCCCTGAAAGGTACCGACGGTTAGATTAAACAAATTTTCAAAATCCATTCACAGGTGCAGTATCCCACCGCTGTCACCAAAAATTGTCACGTCCCAAGTACAAAAATAGGGATTTTTGAATATTAAAATGTTGGGGAATTCAACTGCTAAAACACTAAAGTGTACCCTGTAAATAGGTGGGAGATTCAAATTCTACTTTATAATGATTACAACAAGAAATACTTTAAATTGGTTACTTTAATCAACAGTAATAAGTAAAAGTTACAAGTTCGAGCCGAGAAATTACAAGTAATCGGTAAGAGCATGATCCAAGTAACAAGGTCTCGCCAAAGTCGGGCTCAATTTTAACTCGGTTCGCGCACCATAAAAAAGCCGACCAATCATAGCGATTACCTGAAGCGACGACCATATTGAAGCGCTAAATTTTGAATCAAATACAGAAACAAATTTAAAGAACATAAAGAATAATAAATTAAAAGTAAAATAATTCTTTATTAAATATTAATATTTTTTATTAAATACTTATTATTAACTTGATACATAACATTCACATATATTGGTTGCTTGGAATCTTGAAAATCAAATTACTATTTATTGCAATATTTATTATTATTATTAATAACTTTATATTTATTAATATTAACAATAATTAAAAATAATAATTATTATTAAAAATAAAATAACATTCATAATAATTTATTAATATTAATTACTATTTATTGTAATATTTATTATTATTATTATCAATAATTTTATACGTATTAATATTAATAATAACAATTAATAATATTTATTATTAAAAATAAAAATATATTAATAACAATAACAATCTTATTTTCTGGATTTGAAACACATTTAAAAATACGCGGCTAGACTTTCAATATGGTCGTCACTTCGTCCGCATTCTGATTGGTGCTTGGTTCCACGTTTTTTTTGCCTGCGCGTGGCGAGACCTTGTTACTTGGATCATGGGTAAGAGTGCTCGGAGATATCTGACGAGATGAGATCCTGTGGTCCATGGGTCCCCATAGGACCCTGCGCGCGTTGAGTAGAGGGGATGACTACCCCTTCCTTTGAACTTCCCTGTGACCAATACAACCCTGACGGAGTGTTATTTTTACAAGTTATTTACACATTCATACTATTTTTCATTATTTAAATTTAACATTAACAATATATAAAGTTAATTAATATTTGTTTCGTCAATTACCAAATATATAATAATCGGTTTCGCAGTTAAATTCATTCGGAGTATGATAATTACATTTTGCATCTGTATATTTAATTACCATAGAATCATGGTAACTTTGAATTACTAATAAGATATTACAATAACGTAGATAATTTGTATTATAATACAACTTATTATTATTTATTTTATTATTATTATGATTATTATTATTATTATTATTATTATTATTATTATTATTATTATTATTATTATTATTATTATTATTATTATTTAATTAATCAATAAATTAATTAACAAATTCTATACATGTGATTAAAACTTTTATCATTAATTAAGAGTATCAAATTATTTAACTAGTAATGAAATGGTAAACAGTAATCAATTTATAATCGTTGTTTTATAAAATTATTAGTGGCATACATAGAATTAAGAATGTGAAATTCATATCAAATTTGAATATTGTAATTAAATAGAAAGCTCATTTCTTTTTCTTATAAACGAAGGATGAGTCATAGGTTTTTCCTGACGATACAATACCCTTTTTTTTGTATACCGGGGACTCGAGTAAGGCCCGAGTCCCACGGTCCCTTTTTTATTGCTACCACATGTTTGGGTTTTCCCAACTGTTTCGAAGTTCGGAAATATGTATTTCTCAAAAGGCTATTTTTTATAGAAATAAACTCTGTTTCTTTTCAATTCTAATTTTTTGTGTCCTACGTGACATTTGCCTCATTTTCGCAGACTATTTCAACATCTGTAATTTTAACAATTATTCCTTTTCAAAAAGCAGCACATGTTTGGTTGCCATTCTATTTCGTTCTTTAGATTTTTTGCATGTGATAAAATTCTTTACGGAAATAAGCAAATAAATGCATGCGTTTTTATTTTACATTAAAATTCAATTATTATATTGATATTAATTTTGAATCCTAGCGCTATTACCTAGTTACTTCCGTACGAAGAGTTACGTAGTGTTTTTCCCTAGCGGAGAATTACGTGAATTTAGGCCTGCCGTCACAGGTACTGTGCAAATTCACTCGTATTTGATTCGCGGATTCATTCTTATTAATATCCCTGAAAAGGGACCGGGAAATTTCAAATAAATACAGAAGTAATTCCGTTAAAACGGAGGGAAAAACTCTTACGAATAGGAGGAACCAATTAATGATTAATATTTATATTAATCAATTATTAGTTCTACTTGCTTCGTGAGGAAACCCTTTTAGTTTATTATAAAAGTCAACTTTACAAAATGCAACCTTTCGGTTCGAGATTAGTCTTAATACTAAAGGTGCTTCTATACCTCCGGTGGATTGGTCAAGCAATCGGCTCGATGAATTTTCACGGTCGGAAAATGTACTTTCATGGCGGGTATTTTTGAATAAGTAAATGTTGAAAAGGTTTTTACTTGAAAATTTATTTAAAAAAATGATTTTATCATAGAAATTCTTTTGAAATTTATGTTAAAAAACATGTTTTATTTTAAAAGTTATCAAATTTTAATTCAAAATGTTTTAATTTTCCAAAGAAGTGTAAAAAGCCTAATGTTTTTGAAATGCTAGTACAGACGGTACAGACTGTTTGTTATGAATGTACATAACCTAGCGTTGTGTTGTCTGTTCATTATTATTTAATATAATAATAATTAAATCATTAAATTTAGAATATAATAATAATATCACAAGCACGACAACACAACGCTAGGTTATGTACATTCATAACAAACAGTCTGTACCGTCTGTACTAGCATTTCAAAAACATTAGGCTTTTTACACTTCTTTGGAAAATTAAAACATTTTGAATTAAAATTTGATAACTTTTAAAATAAAACATGTTTTTTAACATAAATTTCAAAAGAATTTCTATGATAAAATCATTTTTTTAAATAAATTTTCAAGTAAAAACCTTTTCAACATTTACTTATTCAAAAATACCCGCCATGAAAGTACATTTTCCGACCGTGAAAATTCATCGAGCCGATTGCTTGACCAATCCACCGGAGGTATAGAAGCACCTTATATTTATGAATATGATTACACATATTATTAACAAATTATTAACATTAGTTATGAATAAAGGAATGAAACGCATTTTGCCGAATTAATGCGTATTTCAAAACTTCTTTGTCAAAGGAAAAGATATTCGATACTTATTTAGATTTTGTTTATATGAAGTATTCCTAAGTGGAAATACCAAGAAGACTTTAGGGAAATATAATAGCTTATTTTACGAGTTAATTCTCGGAGCAGATAAAGAGGTTTTTGTGTATATATTTTCCAATATTTATTCTATTTAATAAATTGAAAGACGATTCGTTTTATAATTCGAAATCTAAAAAGCTGTGCCATCTCTCACGATTTAGAATTAACATTTTACTTAAAATTATTAATTTATATTTAAATTAATTAAAAGAAATCTCATCGATATATCGAGATTCGATTTATCGATTATCAGTAGAGCGAGATAAACGTCGCTCGTTACATAAGCAAAGTGCATGTTGCAGATGGAGCTGCGGTTGTCCAATTGTTGGCGCTAACTTTTAAAATGTTGATAGCCTTTTTTGAAATTGATAAAAAATAAATATTTATTTTTATTCATTTTTTAATTAAAAGTAATTAAGAAAATTAAATAAACAAAAAACTTTTTTTAATATTATTAATAACAATGAACATACATTCTAATTCAGTATCAGATAATTAAAACTAGACAAATGGTATATATTTATCAATTTATGTTTATTAAAAAAGAAATTAGAATAAATAAATTGAAATCAATATTATTGAAAATAATAAGTAATTATTAATAATAGTAACAAAGAATATAATTATAATAGGGCAGGAGTTTAAATCTTATATTTAAATGTAATGAAATTAAAGTTATTAGAATTAATTCCAAATTAGGCAGCAAACTAAATTTAGAAATGGCGTAGAACAGTTAAAGATAATTCCCTATTTAATGCTTAGCGTTCGCCAGTTTCATATGCCTTACGCTTATATGTTTGTGTAAGTTTAATTGTATATGAAATTCACAAAGAAAAAAGAAAAATTGTAATTAATTAAAAATTAGGCAGGGAACTGAATTGAGAAATGGCAGAGAACGGTAAAGGAGACGGCCGCTTGCGGCCGTCGACTGCGCTAGTTACATAAAAATTACATTTTAGAGCTGTGCAAAATTCGAACCGAACCGAGTTTTGTTCGGTTTTGGAGCGCCGAAATTTCGAATCTCGAATATTCGACATTCGAACTAGGCTAACTCGAATGTCAGTTTTTCGACATTCGAACTGGACTGACTCGAATGTCGAAAATTCGACATGCGACTGAAATGTCGAATTTTAGAATTGGACATTTTAGCGTTCAAAAACCGAACAAAACTTGGTTCGGTTCGACATTCGAACTAGGCTAACTCGAATGTCGAATTTTCGACATTCGAACTAAGCGAAAAAATTCGAACAGTTCGGTTCGAATTATTTTGCACAGCTCTATAACATTTCTTTGAAATGAAATTGTATAAATAACTACAATTAATAGAGGGGTCTCATTGACATATTTACGTGATAGATATTTTATGTACTTTAGACCTAAAATACCTGTTAGTGTGACACAAATTTGATTAAATAAAGTTACTCTATAAGTTGTAAAATTTGTTCCAATATACTTTCAATATCCTCAGTTTCATTGTGTAAATGAAGATCCCAATTATCTACATCATCTAAATCGCATTCTGTCTCCATGTCGTCGATACCTATGAAAATATTTTTGTTTTAAATAAGTTTTATTTAATAAATTGATGCATTTATTTTACCTTGTGTAAAAGTCCAACCACGTTTAACACGAACAGATTCACGACAGCTAATTCGAATGGATTTACAAATTTTTCCATAATTTTCAAAAAACCATTTAATATCAGTTTTTCTTCTCGCATCACTTAATATCCAAATTGGTTTGCTTTTTACTGTGACAATAAATAAAAAAATATTTTTAAAAGCATATTGAAAAGAGTTGAAAGATTTTAAAGTTTTTTTTAATAACAGAAATTTAATAGATATTTAAATAACTTGTAAGGGGCAGGCACAAAGGTTTTGTTAATTAATTAAAATTTCAAAAATGTAGATAGTGTCCAAGTGCTTCCATGTAAGACAAATGTCGATCTTCTTCAATGTAAATTTGATATCGTGAAACAATGATAAAAATTTTATCTTCTGTAATTTGGAAAGAATTTCGCGGTAAGTTCCTCACTCAACATGTAAATAACGCGTTTTTCCCATTATTATAACTTCCGCTTCTAAGTTATCCATTTTAGAAAAAAAATAACACAAAAATTTTTTAATTTAAAATAACGAAATATATTCCAATTGACAACACGAAAATTTGAATGTAAACGATGTAAACAGCACGGAAAATTTTGTGAAACAACTTCATGTCAAACAAAAGACAGCTCAGCGGAATAAAATATTTGTTTTCTGCTTGAATTAAATCATTATTAATATGTATTAATTATTATTTAAATAAAATTATTTTAGACTTCCTTTTTCAGACTTTTTTTGGACCTTTTGAACATTTTGGACTTTCTAATTATTGGAGTTTTTGTACTTTGGAATTTCTAATTATTGGACATTTTATTTTGGATCTTTTGTACTGCTACCGTAAAGTTGAGTCTCCAATGTGAGAGAGGTGCGCATCGATGTTCATAGCTATAGGTATACTAAAAACTAAAGTATGCTGTGGTATATCTATAGCTATGAACATCGATGCGCACCTCTCTACGTGCGTGAAGTTGGCACAACAACCATATAATAATTAACTTTTCTGGTATGGAATCGTTTGGTCATCGTTTGGTCATGTTAGGAAACTAACTTTCTACGTTTGGATGCAATAAATAAAAAAGTTATTCAACTTTTAAATTTATAGTGCTAACTTCACATTTGCACAACAAAAGTTAATATATTTTTAAAATTTTAATGCCAATCGTTTGGTCATCGTTTGGATAAGATTGGAAACACCATTCAAGCGTTTGGACGATTCATAAAATAATTATAAAACATTTTAAAGATTTTTGTTCACAGCACACTGGAAATAAGGCTATTCAAGTTGGGTGGGGAAACATTTAAAGATGGATGCTTGCTGGTGCACAAACAATGAAAAAAATAAGTAAAAGGGACTGACAACTAAATATAGAATAATTTTTTATTACACTATGGTTAAAAAATGATTTTTAAAAAGTTATGGTTGAAAAACTTAAGTCCTATTGAGTTTAATTGAATTTAATGCACTGTTTGTGCACCAGTAAGCATCCATTTTTAAATGTCTCCCCACCCAACTTGAATAGCCTTATGTATAAAGTTGCGTAAAAGGATCTGCGCATGGGCATTCTTAGCGCGAAATTTTGAAATCTTCTTGCATTACTCATAAAGATTATTATTGTTAGTTTTTAAATAAATTTTAGGTTATTATTATTACTATTATTTTTTATTTTTCTAGTATGAAATCGTTATAGTAATAATAATAACCTACAATTTATTTAAAAACTAACAATAATAATCTTTATGAGTAATGCAAGAAGATTTCAAAATTTCGCGCTAAGAATGCCCATGCGCAGATCCTTTAAAGGTACTGCCACAGCTCTCTGCTGCCTGCGCAGGCAGCTGAGATACAATGAGAGTGAGGGAGAAAAAGCATGAATTTGAATTTTCTTTCTCCCTTACTCTCATTGTATCTCAGCTGCCTGCGCAGGCAGCAGAGAGCTGTGGCAGTACCTTTACGCAACTTTATACATTTCCAGTGTGCTGTGAACAAAAATCTTTAAAATGTTTTATAATTATTTTATGAATCGTCCAAACGCTTGAATGGTGTTTCCAATCTTATCCAAACGATGACCAAACGATTGGCATTAAAATTTTAAAAATATATTAACTTTTGTTGTGCAAATGTGAAGTTAGCACTATAAATTTAAAAGTTGAATAACTTTTTTATTTATTGCATCCAAACGTTGAAAGTTAGTTTCCTAACATGACCAAACGATGACCAAACGATTCCATACCAGAAAAGTTAATTATTATATGGTTGTTGTGCCAACTTCACGCACGTCACCTCTCTCACATTGGAGACTCAACTTAAGAAAAGCTATGAGTGGGAGTGAGACAGACTTATGCAGAACGCATGGTATGGTAGCTTTTCTCGTTTTTTTGTTATTCAGTGTTACTACTCTATTGAAATTGAGTGAGAACTGCTAGCTGCCAAAATGCATGATTTTTGTGACTTTCTCGCCAATTATTTATTCAACGGTGCGATCAGTATAAAGTAACCTTTTTTTATATACTTTTCATCAACATTTGTTGTTTCATGCAACAACCTCCTTAATTTCCATAACTTACCATTGTACATTTCAATAGCAGCTCGACAAAAGTATCCATAATCTTTTTTTCTAGTATCTTCTCCCCATTTTACCATTTCAAGTCTGTATTTTTCCTTGAATGGCCCATCTCCAAGTAACTGATTTAAATCAAGATTTAATGATTTGGCCCAATGAGATTTTATCGGACCGGACAATTTAACAATAACACTTTTTTCACCACCAAGTCTAAAAATACAGAATTTTCACTATTTATTAAGAAGATTTATCCAAGAAAAATTTACCTGTAGAAAAATAATTAATTAACATTTAAAATAATAAAAACTATTATTGATAGCATTTCCCATGAAAACAAAATTATCAATTTTCTTGAAAAAATATTGACAATCAAAAAATATTCGTTCTGATTTTTAAACAAGCATGCCATTTTGAAAATATGTATGCTTATTTGTTTAAAAAAAGTCAAAATTTTCTTGTAAACAAATAAGCATATTTTTCTAAACGGCGCGGCGTGCTTGTTCGAAAATCTGAACGTTGATGTTGTAGAGAATCATTTTTTAAAGGAAATAAGTAGACACCATTTTGTTGCAATGAAAATTTTGAAATTATGCAATAATTATGCGATGAAAATAAAATTATGCAATGACGCATGGTTAGGTTTAATTTGTATATAATAATTTTTAAATGGTTTTAATATATAGTTAATAAATAATTTTTTAACCTAAAAACAATTAAATGAACAATATTAGTATAAATAAGAAGTTATCAATCCTCCAAGTCAATTGATTGACTTGGAGGATTGATAACTTCTTATTTATACTAATATAATTTTACCAAGTGATAAATTCAACAATACTAAAGGAACAATAATAGAAGTTTAACTTTGGCATCAATCGTGTATTTTGAAAAATTGTTACATTCTTAGTTAAGAAAATTTCATTTAAGTTTCTCTAGAATAGCGAAAGTTTTAACTGAATGAATAAAAAATTCACTAATATAATGAAAATTGTAGTTGCTCCAAGTAAAATTTTTTTCCCGTGCATAAAGTTATTTTTATAATTAAGTAAAATGTAACATTCTTTTTTAACGCATTTTATATTATTGTCAGGGACCGATTCTGAAACGAAACTAAATTCAAAATTTACGTTCAATTTAATTTAGTGTCAATTCAAAACTAAAGTCCGATAAAATTAAATATTTAGTGTCAGTAAAAAAATTACTAAAAAAACGAAATACACTGAAACCCCACTTATTTGAACATGGTCCACGCAATTCGACACGAATAGCGAATTCGGTTATCTGCTCCGAGAGCGATCTTGCTCGGTGTAGGAGTATAGCAGGGAGTAAGACTAAGGAGACTGAACTAATGCTATGGAAGTGAAACCATTCGTCGCATTGAAACTATACGTAAGACTGAAAATTATGGTTTTCGCGCATGCGCACATGCAATACTCTCTAAATTTGAATCAGCGAAAAGTCGCTGATTCACCAGCCCAGAGTATGCAGCTGATGAAATAGCGTATATACACTGATGAAACAGCGTATATGCACTGATTTTCCAGCGTATATACGCTGTTTAATCAGCTGCATACTCTGGGCTGGTGAATCAGCGACTTTTCGCTGATTCAAATTTAGAGAGTATATTTGTCTCTGTCTTTCTCAGTAACTCAGATGCGACTGAGAAAATTATTATAAGCTACAAGTTGAGAAGGTTATGTTTAATATTTGTGAATGTTGTGCGTTTCAGGAAATATTATTAATAATAACTATTAGTAAATTGAAAAAAAATTAATTTAATAAATATAAATGTGCATACAAAAATATATACTAAAGAGTGTATATTTTTCAGTGATAAGTAATATATTAATAATATAATAAAATATTTATAAATGTTCAGAATCAATTTTTTTGGTATATAAACTACAAAGTGTTTTATTCTTTGTGGAAACAATTGAACAATTCCTAAATAAATAATATTTACGAATTTGTAATTTACTTTAATTATATACTTTATAAATAAACAGCTTTAAATGTCACATAAAAGTTATCAATAAGTTAATTTATTCGTTTGTCGATCATTGTAATATGATGTTTTGCATCCTGGTATGCAACAAACCATAATTTTGAAATTTTATTTTAAGAATCATATGTCAAAACATAACCATAACCTATTGATAAGTTTTTGTTCTCTCACTTGCTTATATTTTACGATATAAAGAGAGAGAGCAATATGCGCATGTACTGCGCATGCGCGCGGAGCATAAGTTTTGTCATTCTGCGAGTATAGTTCCCCTACAGAAAAAGGTTTCATTTTTGAGAGACTTCACACAGTCAGTTCAGTCTCCTTAGTCTTACTCCCTGGAGTATAGTTTACTCTGCTCTCAAAAAGCTGTGCTCTACTCTGAGCATGGAGTAGTATAAAGGCCTAAGCACAATAGGTTCGCGAAAGTCGTTCGCGAACGCAAAGCATGAGTTAGAAAAGGACTGAGATATATTTGTGTCCTTGTCTATCTCATGCGTCTCGTTCGCGAACGACTTTCGCGAACCTATTGTGCGTTGGACTTAAGGAGACCCAGATAACAATCGTGCGTCGCATTTAAACGCATGTTTCTTGCACTAACTGCGACTTACCAGATGAGTCGGTTCATATACGCATCTTACTATCGTCTGTGACGCTGGTAATAATGCGAGTGTTGTGAACTGCATTTCGTAAGCGCCTGTGATACAAAATGATAAGCATGTTCCGTTCACAAGTGCGACTCGCTAGAAGAGTCAATCCATACGCATTTTACCATCCACAGTGCGAATGCTGTGAATGCGTGTGCAGTGAACTGCACTTAATACGCACGCAATTAATGATGCGCAACCACCCGTATCGGCAATCACACATTTTATAATGGCGACAGCATTGTTTGTGGTGTGTTATCAAAATAAGTTTTTATTGTGATTTCATTTTTTATTGTTTTTTATTGCGATATTATTGTGAGGAATTATTGTGGATTTAATTTTTAGTACTGCAGCAAAATAAGAAAGTTAAATTTAATTTGTTTAAAGTACATATATATTTTTGTTGTATTAGATATAACCTCAAAAAAAGAATTTGGAAGTTTTTAACAATTTCAATTCCAAAATTGTACTGAAATATTAAATTAAAATCGTTTTTATAAATAACATTTTAATTTAAAAAAAATTACTAATGTCAATAATCTTTTCTTTTTATTTAATTCAAATAAGGCTGAAGTATAAATATAATTTATTCGCATTATACCGTCACGCATGTGCCCATCACAATATGCGACAGTTATGGATCGCATATGATGACGCATCTGAGTGGTCCAGTGAACGCGCATAGTGCGGATAAATCGGCACGCGTGCAGATGATATTAGTAGCACACAACGCGCATTTTGTTATCTGGGGACCGAACGCCCGTGATGAATCCGCGTCAAACGTGGCCGCATTTTTCATAACAGTGATTCCTCTAGGCTCACTTACATCGATAGAAGAGCCTCTCGCGGAGGAGAAGATCATTATATTTAAAAACAAAATAAGACATGACATAACCTCTAATTTTGTTTATAAAAGTGATTGTTAGTTCAATGAAGCATGTAAAAAATAAATTGTGAGTGAAAATGCCTGCTGCTGTCTGTGTAGTGAAAAATTGCAATTCTTCTCTCTTAATTATAGAGGGAATTTTAGTAACAATTAAGTTATGTATATAAACAATATTAATCGCAACAATTCTCACATATACTTACTTATTTATCTCTTTTCACTTCCAACCGAGCACTTTCAAAATTAATATTGAATAAATAATAATATATTATAATTATAAGATAATTATTAATGATAATTGTCAACTATTTCCAAACAACACTAACCTATAAAAATACCAACTGCACTGTACAATAACAATTAGCAGACGATTATTGGTGACATTTTTCCCCGTTGGGGGCGCTTCTATCGATGTAAGTGAGCCCAGAGGAAACACGGTAATGAAAAGTGCGGCCACTTTGCGTGAGTGGCGTTCGGTCTCCTTATACTACTCCACCCTACTAAAAATAAAATCAGGAATCGTCATGAATGGTCAGAATTTCTGAACATTCCTGAACAGTCTCACCACTTCTGACGTTTTCGAACGTTTCTCACCATTCCTAACCAAATACTTTCCAAGCTCCTCCCACTTTACTCCCACCATTTTCGAAACTGTGACCATTTCTGAAATTCCTGACCATTTCTGAAATTCTTGACTATTTCTGAAATGTGTGAACACATAACCTATAAAAATTTTGGTACATCTTTCTAATTTTGGTAAAGTCTCATGAAAATTTATATATACATATAAAATCTTTCAAATTTATTTTTTACATTTCAGAATACATTATTCTATTATAAAAATTGTTCTTTTAACTTAACAAAAGTTCTCATTTTTCAAATTGGTATAATTATTGAATTAATTATACAGCAAAAGTAGGTAAATAAATCAAAACATTCGGTCTATTCTTTTAACATTATTTAATATATTTATTTAATGTATATTTATAATATATTAATTTAATATATATATATATTTACTTGTAATTATTTAATATAGTTAGTTAATAATAAATTTTGTTTGATAATATTAGTAATTTACTATACCAGTCAGTACTTATTATGAGAAGTATTTGCATTATAATTGAAATACAGTTATATTTAAATTATTATTATTAATCATTAATAGAAAATTTTCTTACTATAATGATTATTAATAATTTAAATTTAAAATTTATAAAAATTTCAATATTGCATTAATAATTCATTATTATTATAAATTATAATGTTAAATTAAATTAATATTAAATACTAAATTCATTTTAAATGCAGATATAATAATAATTATTATTAATCTGTATTCGTATTATAGTTTATGAAACATTCCAAATTGTAAAGTTAAGACTTAATTTATTATTGATTCAATTAATAATGTTAATTTTTATTAATTCACATAACCTATTATGACTAAATTGAAATATAATTAATTAATAAAAATTATTTAACAGTTTATTCCAGTGCTGCCAGATTGGGAGATTTTTCTTCAAATTTGAAGAATAATTTGTAGTTTTGAGAAATTTGAAGAATTTGAAGAAATTTTTTTAAAATTTGAAGATTTTTTTTTAAGAAGTAAGTTTTATTAATTTCTTTTTTAAATAACACTAGAATGGTGAGAGATGAATGTAAATTGTTACCA